GTAAGTAAGGAGGAAGTCCAGGAAGAGGAAGGTTATTTAAGTGTGGGAGTGGCCTATTTGAATCCATTTTATTTGAGGCCATGCGGCAAGGTGAGTGTGTTTGCTGATCCTGTAAGTTTATTTAGCTCCTTTAACTTTAGCTTATATTGTAGTTATGCTATGTAGCGTGTGAAATAGAGTATGGCGAATGTGCTAGGAAAGGTAGTATCAGCCCTGTTTCTACCTGGAGCTCACATGTACGGAGCCTGGGTTTGGTTGAAGGTGGCAGTGCTGTTTGGGCTGAGAAAGCCATGCGTAAGTAAGGTAAAGGAGGTTATTGGGTTGGTGCGGGGAAGGGAGCAGTGAGACCTGGCATTAGGGGAGTGTCTCTGGAACGCCAGAGATCACTGTCTAGCCTCCTGGAGGTGTCGTGGGACCAACTAGACGAAACACTGGTGAAAGGAGGTTCCCACCCGATGACCCCAAAGACATGCTAGTTATCACTGCTCACTGGTTTGTATAGTTAAGCATTGCCATATTAGCTTATCATAGGGCTTAGGTTATTCACTGAGTGTTGATCCTTTCTCTAGAGCACAAACTTCTTGTGTTTATTTGAACCCAATGTGATGCCAAAACAGGCAAATACTCATTCAATAGCAAATCTCTACTAATTATAGGACGACTCCGACGATTTAGCAGTGCACTTTTATAAAACATTGGGAGACTAAAAGAGACACATAAAAAGAACGATCAAAATGGAAGCAGCAAAATGTCCAGTGTCTGTAGTGTGGAGCCAGCTCCAAATCACTGGATCCTACAATTTCCGTAATGCAGCTCAATAGCAGCATTTATTAAACCCTTCATGTCTCTTACATGCCTGCTTCTTTTAAAATACTGTGCAAAATCAACCCTGACAAGTGCTCCAGTATTGAACAAATAATGCAAAATCCCAGAAAACAAATACATTTTTCTCAGTGCCAACACTGTCACTGTACAATATGATACTGTAGAGAGACAATGTTGGCACTAACTACTATCTGTGGTAAATACAGCATGGTTAAAGGTAGAGATTGTGATTAGCAGGTCTGTGACAGGATGCAAACTCTTCAGAGTTCAGATGCACCCAACCCCCACCATAACCTCAACTGGAACCCTACACCCTCAGATGCTATGTAAAGGGCACACTGCCTGCTGCATTGACACTGAACGTTGGTACTGGACATACAGTACAGGCCAAAAGTTTGGACACACCTTCTCATTCAATGCGTTTTCTTTATTTTCATGACTATTTACATTGTAGATTCTCACTGAAGGCATCAAAACTATGAATGAACACATGTGGAGTTATGTACTTAACAAAAAAAGGTGAAATAACTGAAAACATGTTTTATATTCTAGTTTCTTCAAAATAGCCACCCTTTGCTCTAATTACTGCTTTGCACACTCTTGGCATTCTCTCCATGAGCTTCAAGAGGTAGTCACCTGAAATGGTTTTCCAACAGTCTTGAAGGAGTTCCCAGAGGTGTTTAGCACTTGTTGGCCCCTTTGCCTTCACTCTGCGGTCCAGCTCACCCCAAACCATCTTGATTGGGTTCAGGTCCGGTGACTGTGGAGGCCAGGTCATCTGCCGCAGCACTCCATCACTCTCCTTCTTGGTCAAATAGCCCTTACACAGCCTGGAGGTGTGTTTGGGGTCATTGTCCTGTTGAAAAATAAATGATCGTCCAACTAAACGCAAACCGGATGGGATGGCATGTCGCTGCAGGATGCTGTGGTAGCCATGCTGGTTCAGTGTGCCTTCAATTTTGAATAAATCCCCAACAGTGTCACCAGCAAAACACCCCCACACCATCACACCTCCTCCTCCATGCTTCACAGCATGGAGGAGCACAAAAAGCACAGATTTCCACTGGTCTAATGTCCATTCCTTGTGTTTCTTGGCCCAAACAAATCTCTTCTGCTTGTTGCCTCTCCTTAGCAGTGGTTTCCTAGCAGCTATTTGACCATGAAGGCCTGATTAGCGCAGTCTCCTCTTAACAGTTGTTCTAGAGATGGGTCTGCTGCTAGAACTCTGTGTGGCAATCATCTGGTCTCTGATCTGAGCTGCTGTTAACTTGCCATTTCTGAGGCTGGTGACTCAGATGAACTTATCCTCAGAAGCAGAGGTGACTCTTGGTCTTCCTTTCCTGGGTCAGTCCTCATGTGTGCCAGTTTGGTTGTAGCGCTTGATGGTTTTTGCGACTCCACTTGGGGACACATTTAAAGTTTTTGCAATTTTCCGGACTGACTGACCTTCATTTCTTAAAGTAATGATGGCCACTAGTTTTTCTTTAGTTAGCTGATTGGTTCTTGCCATAATATGAATTTTAACAGTTGTCCAATAGGGCTGTCGGCTGTGTATTAACCTGACTTCTGCACAACACAACTGATGGTCCCAACCCCATTGATAAAGCAAGAAATTCCACTAATTAACCCTGATAAGGCACACCTGTGAAATGGAAACCATTTCAGGTGACTACCTCTTGAAGCTCATGGAGAGAATGCCAAGAGTGTGCAAAGCAGTAATCAGAGCAAAGGGTGGCTATTTTGAAGAAACTAGAATATAAAACATGTTTTCAGTTATTTCACCTTTTTTTGTTAAGTACATAACACATGTGGAATGTGTTCATTCATAGTTTTGATGCCTTCAGTGAGAATCTACAATGTAAATAGTCATGAAAATAAAGAAAACGCATTGAATGAGAAGGTGTGTCCAAACTTTTGGCCTGTACTGTAAATGAGATGCAGATCTGTCAAATATACAAACATATCGTCATACAATGTTTCAATATCTAACTAATCATTGCTCCACGAATGGCATTCATTACATTACTTAATGGAACATTGCGTACTTAATGTAAAGTTACGTAGGTTAGGTTTAGGAATAGAAACATGGTGTGCTGTCACATTTCGTAGCCTACTTAAAGTAAAGTTAAATATTTAAGGTGAAGTTACATAGATTAATTTTGGGCAAGTAAAGTTACGTAGATTGGGGTTCAGGAAAAGAAACATGGTGGCAACATAGCTTAAGATAACTCTAAGTTCACTTGGTTTCAAACGGGACACAAACACCAGTCTCCTGGGGGGAAAGTCCCGTGTTGCTTTGCTCTTTATACTACTTCCATTTTTACTCTCATCAGCACACTCATGGTCACGTGATAGCAGCCTTTCCAGTTATGTAGGTTACACACACACATCACCAGCTCACGATTATGTGAGTTGTATACAAATTCTGGGTAAAGCCTCATACAGGTTCTGGGAACAGTGCATGAGAACAGCTATACAGTAAATGTAAATCTTATGGGATACTGGTAAAATGCTCCTTAAAGACAGTAATAACCACAGGAATATGCATGAGGGAGCATGAGGGAGCAAAAACACTGTCACTCTTCATATAATTGGCTTTTGCTTTTCAACAAGAAAAACTGAACAATTCGGATCCCGTTTTTTAGAGTTTATACTGTATTTTAGGACTGTTAATCTTCAGACAAAATGTCTTTCGTAGTTAATGGTTAGACATTGTAACACCTTTCGTATCCTATAAAAATGTATATTATATTATATTATCTGTAGTACATTATAGCAATGTTTTCTGAACTGAAAAGAAGTGTGACAAGTGGGCTTTTATTTTGGAAGCAAGTCCTGCCTTTATTTTGAGACAAAGAAAAAGAAACATTTGTCAGTTCTGCATCGTGGAGTTCTACCTGAACCATCAGTGTTATTTTTATTTTGACAAAATTTAAGACATGAACACCCTGAAGTGATGTAGAAACGGTACAAAAAGGGAGCATAGAAAGTCACCACAATGTAGAAAATTAAGTGTTTGATATTCATTTTTTTCTGGCAGAGGACCCCAGAATGCCCTGTTTCATAGGTTTGTCCGTCAATGTTGGAACAAAACCTACACTCTTGTTTGTATGATAGGGTAAGCAGGGCTTTACAGAGTCACACTGATCTGCATACTTTTGCAAATTTATTGTTCCAAATAAGGGCTGGGAACGCTGTTTACACTCCAGAACTTCTTTCTGTTCCTAATGTGAGCCTTCATGTCTGCTGCTCCCTCTGAGTGGAACATGCTTCAATCACACATTGCTTTTAAACCCATCATGTTTGAACTGGAGGCAAGCTGATCCAGCAGTGTTCATAAACTACTTATTTATTTGTAACATTATATTGAGATCATCAGTGTCATCTGTGTTGTTTATCTTTGTCTTAAATAATTTTAATGTCCTGCATATCTATTTCTATATTATTATTTTGACATCTTTATTGTTACTTTATTAATCTCACATTAACCTTTTGATCCTTTGTGTTTGGTGGTCCATGATTATTCTCTTCATACTCCTCATACCTCTATGTTTCATGTCCTATCTTGCAACTTAAAACACTCTTTAAAAGAGATATTCAAACTCTGTTAAGCCCTTCTTTCCTTGTTAAATAGATTGGCAGTCACTTTTGTCCAGAGTTATACAAAATAAGTGCATTTAACCTCCACAGGAAAAATGTAAAAGTAATGTCCACATTTTTTAATAACTCCCTTGTTAACCTGACTTTGACATAAGAAATGGACAGGTACTCTTTGTGCACAAAAGTGCATTTTAGGTTCAGCTGAAAACAATATGAGGCTTCAGCAGTCTGAACAAATCAAGTGTACAAAATTCCCTCTATGCGTTACTACCCTCCACTGCAGCGCAGCAAAGAAACTGTCTGAAACCACAAAGGAGTTTCATATGGTAAAGACTAACTGCAGGAGATACCTACTAGATAACTCAGACTGCCTCTTATTAACCTCAGCTGATCACTGGGATGTAGTTCTGCACACATCACTTCGATTGACGTTGCACAAAAAATCGATCTCTACAGACAGCCGCAATACTAACAGTGACTGGCGAGGTTTAATGGGTATGTACAGTAGCATGCCATTTGCATTATTACTGACCATTTCCCACAGAAGACAATAAGTTCCCATAGACATGTCCTACCTCATGGAGCCACTGGTTTCATCAGTACACCCCAGTTCAGTCTGACAGTCAACCTGGAGAGACATAAAATGAGCTTAAGATACAGTTGGTAATCCAGTAGGCATTTGTTACTGCACTGTTGTTGGTCCATTCGACAATTCTTCAACATCCATCCATAAACAACAACACTATCGGAAAATCGTGAATTTTATAAAAGGACTATCTGATTTTGTTCACTGAAAGTGGCACTTTTTTTGTTTACTTATTTAACCTTTATGAGATTTCCCATCTTTTCAAAAGACAGGCAGAGGCCTAAATAAAAAGTTACAGATAGAAAACACAAATAACACAAAGAGAGACAAAATAAAAAGGAAGTTAAGCAAAAGAGAGTCACATCTGACAAGAAAAGTTTAGAAGAGTTTCTTAACCAGGTAAACTAAATAAATAAGTAAACTGATATCTTAAGGAATCTGCCTCTGGTTCTTTCGTTGTGGATTTAAAAGCATTTCATGAGATTACTGCCTTAAGTTTCAAAGTCATTTTGCAACATATTCCATGACAAAGGTGTTGAATACTTAAAAGTCCTTTATCCAATTTCCGTACTAGCATTTGGAATAGAAAGCATAATAAAGTCTTGATATGGCAAAAAATATTGTCTGATACTTTTCTGTATAATAAAGACACAGTCTGTTTTTACACTGTGCACTTTACTTCACTTTACTATAACCATTTGCACCACTCCATATCATATCTGCTGCTGTTGGTCATTTGCACTACATGTACATCACGCACATCCCATAAGCTGCTCTAACATGCACCTTGATCACTTTGATTGTACATAGGTTTAGAGTATTTTCTAGAGTGTCTTGTCTTTTTGTAATACTACTTAGTTTTCTCTTTATTTTTACTTGTATATATAGTTTTTTATTGTATTATCATTATTCCAATTTAGCTTTCTTTTAACTCTTAAATTGTATGACATTATATTAGGTGAGAGGGAAACAGCATTTCGATTCTCTGTATGTCCTGCACATACAGTGATTGACAATAAAAACCTTTTGAACCATTGAACCTAGATAGTATAGGAGCAAGAATTGCCTTATATACAAAAGTGTACCAATGACAAAGCCTACAGGTGGCCAGAGCAGGCCATCCTACCCCAGAGGTCTATAACTCATAGTAGTGAATCAGAGCTGTACAGCTGGTAATGAATTGGGGAAGCATGGTAAGCTGTGTTAACCATATGAAGACACTAAACAGAGGTGTGCATATATGACAGATCACCATCATGGTAGATTTATACTTGTGCATCAGCTCTATGCAAAGCCTATGCTGTTGCCTATGCACATGACCTACGCTGTAATCCATGACAGGTAAAAAATAAAAATAAAAAAAAAGTGGTGGCAACAAGATGCATTTTTACTTTAAAAGAAGAGCACAACTTTTTGAGAAAATAAAATCCCAGTTTTAGCCTCAGCTTTTCACCAGATTCTGCACTTGTCTTAAACGTGAGGAAGTCATCACTCAAAATAACCAGTTTTTATAACAGTTAACAGCCTCTATTTCACCTCCCTCAAGAGTGACCACTGAAGGTATATTTTATGACCTATTCCTAGTGTTAGTAAACAACATAAGTTTGCATTAAGAATGAGTTTTAGTTAAAGTATGACTTAAATCCAACCAACAAGAGTCCCTGCTCTCAGTTGCATTATACCACAGGAGGATAATATCATGCTGAATGATAAAGATGAATAAAGATTAGGGTCCAAGTCTCTATAAGATGATTTCCATCCCATATTAAAGTGAGTAAAACATAAAAAAAAAAGTAATAGCTGTCTAAAAGCTAAGAAATTAAACTCTACATTATTCTTCAGAGCAAGTTTAACTCCTGTCACAACATTGTTTGGTGTCACAGTGGCCAAAATAATGCCTATATGCTAATGTATTTTAGGTACCTGCTTATGGCCCAAGAGTTGCTATTAGCCTCCATTCTGCTTTATGGTGTTTCACGAAAGTTAAGTCTTATTAATTTATTCATAATGCCTGGAGAACTTCTTTACTGGACTAAATGCTTGTATATAAACTGTGACCCTTCTCCTATAGAGGCTTTTGAATATGACTTAAATCCAGGAAAGTTTAGAGGGGGGCAGACATCATTGAGATTATTTTTTAAAAAAGTGGTCTTTCAAAAAAAAAAAAAAAAAGCAATAAGCAGTGTACAAGTGCTGGTTATATGATCGTGTATGCAAGAATAAAACACTTTGGAAACAGAAGTGCTAACTCCTGATATCATTTAGTTAAAGTGGTAAATTCAAGACAGCCCTACTAGATATGAGAAAAAACTTATATTGTGACCACAAATTTGCCAATAAACTTACAAGCCTGCTATTGGCAACCACTGGGATATGCTGACTAATATTTGTTTAGGAAACGCTACATCGAATATTATAAAATTACTGAGAAACAAGTGTGCGGTTTTTTGGAATGACATTAAACATTAAATCTGTCATCGTAATCCCAGCTGCAGTCATCTCAGTGTGTGTCCCGTCGCACAACCAGCCCAACTTCTTCCCACCAATTTGGCGGCAACTAGAGAGGCGCCTCACATCTGCGACAATAGAGCAGCTGCTCATCAGCATCAATAGGCTCAGGCTGACCTGCGGCTTTATGCGTTTGCGCGCCTTTTTCCATCCCATTCATAAAACAGAGTCCTCTTATGTCGTCTGGCTTTAAGATATAGCCTATTTGAGATCCTTAGACCACCACAAAATCAAAGATCAAACAATACAACCATATTTTTGACATAAATATTTATTGAAAAGGTTTTGTCAATAACAAAACATTTGCAGTATCACAAAACATTTATCTTACATGACGTCAGTGAATAATAAATAATCCTATTTAACACATAGTGTTTACAGACTATTTTTTGCACAGACCAAAATACTTTTAAGTCCATCGTGCAAACCTCACACAAAATAACCCTTGGGGTTTTACAAAAGTGTTGACTACAACCCGTATCTTTGAAACCCCAAAGAGGATTGCATTTTTAAAAGAGCTCATAGACTTCCGTTTCTTAAAGATCTGTGCTCGTGCTCTCTGGCAGTGAAGGCAAAATGAGCCACATGCTGAATAAAATCACTGTACAACAACTCCAACAATTCTTAATCGCTACGACAACAGTTATTGGAATACAAATAGCATAAATAACATCTCAAAATAAATAACAAGCATGAGATAAATGTCCATCTAATCTACCAAGGTCTCCACATGGCTGCGTTGACAGCCTGCGGGCCTGGCTGCGCTCGGCTGGGAGCAACTGCGCCGCTGCTGCTGCGGGACTGGCTCTCCAGTCTGGAGCTGAAGCTGGATTTGAGGCTCAGAAGTCTCTGTTGGATCTGAGGGAGAGTCCTGGAGCTCTGAGCGCAGCAGTTCAGGCAGGTTGGGGTGACTGTGGCGGACATGGACTGCTGGACGAATTCGTTCACCCGCTGACACGCGTCCTGATCGAGGCTGGTTTTGGGGAGCAGAGCGGAGACGCGCTGGAGGCAGGCTTTGTAGCCTTCTCTATAACTGTCTGCAGAGTCTGGAGGAAGAAGAGATTTGATTAGTGGCTTGAATTTCATGTGTAACCCACAATCTCGGATATAATAGCTTATGCAATTCACAGTGTAGCTCAAGAGATGATGCATACCTTTAACTGGAGTGGAGGGAAGGTCTCTGAGGAAGCGGACTGTCATTTCCAGAATATCAGCTTTCTCCAGCTTGGAGTAGCGAGCGTTGTCTTTGCCAACCAGAGGGAGAATCAGGCTTTTCAGATGCCCGAGACTGTCGTTAATACGAGCACGTCTTCTCTTCTCCAGCAAGGGTTTAAGAGTCTGGAAAAAAAAACATGAAAACCAGTTATTCAGCTGCACTTTTAAAGGAGACAAATGAGAAAATATTTCCAGTAACATAAAGCGATATGCAGGTTCTCTCTGTCCCTTACCTTTCTCAGTTCGTTGGCTTGTTTTCTCTGGGCCACGGTGGACCTGGCAGGGAGAGACTGGTTGGCCTCGGTAGTGATGCTGGGACTCATTTCGTTTTCTGCTTGTTGCTGTGCTTTTTAAATGGAGGTACTTGCTGTGGGAGCAGCTGAGCTGAAGTGTGCAGTAGAGCCGGAGAGCCTCCTATTTATGTGGGACCGGCGCGTCAGAGGGGAGGGGACACAAGCCATTATGCTGGGGGTGTGACACAGGGGGGCGATGCCTTTGGGAGATGAGAGGAGGTCCCGAGTGGACCATCTGGTCGCGATGGGACCCTGCGTCTACCGCTGGTATGCAAAGTTGTGTGATGATGTTACGCTTTATTGCGTTTAAAATGTAAAGCTTTAACGTTCATCCAAGATCCAGTTACGCACACAAAGCATATGGTGCTGTTCTTATAACACACAGGTTGCATCAGACCGCTGCACTTGTGTAGGTAAAGATTGCTTCTGTATTCGCCTTGCTTTGTTATTAAATTAATCTTAGTTCTGTTTATTATCCTGTTTATATCGTATTATAATTGCTTTGAAAATTCTCACTGATGGAAGGCCAAACGCGTAAAAGTTATTTTAATTTAATGAGACATCTGAAAGTTGCACTGCTGTAAACTACAAATTAAAATGTAAGATCTAAATAATAAATACATTAAAAACACATACACACACATGAAATCAGTATATTTATGCTTCTGGACCCGCCACAATAAAGAAAGAGACACAGAACCAGATGAGTGATTCTGAGGTGACAAGACTAATCTATTCCCAAAATTAATAAACTAGATACCCAAGCCACGCTATGTATGGATTAACATCTGCTTGTGGACCCTCAGCAGCTTGTTTCCAATATTAACAACACGGTGTTTACCTGCAGCAGTGGGGGTGGAGACTGGGTGACTGGACAACCTGCAACACACGCAGAGAGGAGCGTGCATCTGCAAAGTGTAAACGTGGGGATATATGTATACAAAGGAGTCATGCAAGTCTGCTCTAACACTGCATGGATGACACGGTGAGGAGCTGGCGTGATTCAGTAAAACTGGGCCTCTTTTGAAGTTATAGTCCCTTAAAACCTATATAAACACAGTATTAAATATAAAATAATGTTTCACAATTAAACAAATTTCAGCATATTTGAAGTATTCCAGTCAATCTCTGCTGCTGACCATTAAACCATTTAGACCATTAATTGAGCTACTGCCAGTGGGATTCACGCGTTCGGCACGCGCCACAACCGCGCAACAGATGGGAAACCCCCCTTCTCCTCATCTTCCCTCTCGACACACCACATACACCCCCTCCCTCCTCTGTTTCCCACTGCTGCACCACTCCGCTGCTGCTCCCATCAGCATCCTGTTAGTGCCTCCTCACCATCAGTGTGCTTCAACTACGTTTTGTGCCTCTTTTGGAGAGGGGGAGGTTTGCGTCTCAGCGCGTTGGCACAATGGAATACTGCGTTAAAACAAACCAAATAAAAACAACACTGCACATCACGATGCTTAAAGGATGGCCCATTGTAAGTTCTCAGGAAAGACAGCAAATACAACTTAATCTGTTAGATAAAGCAAATACGCATGCATTGTTCACTTCCCTCATTTTAAGGGCAATGATAAAGAGCGGGAGCATGTTCAATACACTGAAAGATCAACTAAATTTTAGTTGATTTATCCACATTTGGAAACACATGCAGTTCAACAAGCTCATATCATTTTGGTGAACATAAAGCTGCTCTTCGGCTGCAAGCTGTCCTGCTGTAGCTTGAGGGTTTTCATCCCTCTTTTATTTTTTCAAGATGCGCGGTTTTGCACGCGTCCTGCCCCACGGGGCCCCAAATAACTGCCATCAAGTCCAGTCTGGGAGCGGACCCTTAGAGATGAAACTAAGAAAAAAAATGCAGAGAGGCTTCGGTTGGGACCTTTTTTGTCCTGGTTTCAGCGTGGGTATCCATCTGTGCAAGCAGAGGACAGTGATCCTTTGTTGAAGGATGTACAGAGTAGAGAACTTTTCCAGCAACTCTGTGGGAAAGGGATATCATTATAGCTTCATTGTTTTCTTCCACTTAAAGTATAAGCTATTGAATTCACACATAATTATTTATGTCAGATTTAATTCAAATAAAGGAAGAAGGGGCAAAATGTTTTAACGCATCTTAGTAGCCTACGGATTATTAACAACATCTCCAATAGTTTGGGGCAAGAATCTGGACCAAAAGGTTTAAAAAGTGTTGTCTGAATTCCCAGAAAACATTTAAAATCCTAATCCTTGAGTTTGAGAATAAAATTCTGATTAATTTGGGTCTATAAACGGCATGAGACTGACACGAGCCAGAGCCTTCAGACAGATGGAGTTTATTGATGCGTGAAACCAAACGCGTCGACTGGACGGACTTTGCCTTACTGAAGGTGATCGTCTCCATCGTGGCTACATGGAAGCTTCTAGACCTCTCTTTTTTTCCAGCCTTCAAATCGTGACTGTAGCAAAATGGATGTCTGGCATCCCAAGCCAAAAAACACGCCAACATTATCAGCATCACATTGAAGCATCTGTATGGACTGCTGGTGTTTGAGTACAGAGACAAACATGTCAAGTTTGATTGAACTTTATTTTGTAGTTGGTCATCAAAACCAAGTTTAATTAAAATGTTTTTGATTAAACATGTTCCTCTTTTAAACCGTATGACATTTAATCTATACCAGGGTTTGCATCATAAAATATTCCGATAAAACAGCAGGTGTTCACCTCAATCTAAATTGCAGACACTTCACAAAGGCATACAGAATGATAGCTATGAGTGTTAGAAACCTATGAAATGCTATAAGTAGTTAGAAAATGTGATAAAATTGTTGAATGAAAATGTTATGAAATGCTAGAGAGAGATATTTGATTTTCACATCAATTGATTGAAATGTCCATTGAAAGAAATTTGATTAGTCTGAGGTCTGTTAGAAAGGACAGTGTATTTAAATATCTATATACATTATATACATAAATGCTATTGCTGACTTTATGGCTGCAGACTTCATGGGTCAGACTTTTGCATATGGGACAAATACAGAAATCTTTGTAAAGCTCATTATGAACCCTTTTCTAGTGGCAAAAGTTGCAACAATTGCTGCAGTATTTAATTTCAATAGTCAGAATTTAAATGATTTGTACTAACGAATGATTCAGAAATACACTGAGGAGCAGATCATCATGTAACCATGTAGGGAGAGGGATGAAAAAAAAAGGTGTGTTTTCGCAACCTTGCAATCTACAGTCCTCATCACCAGACGCCACTTAATCCTACACACTAACCCTTTAAGGCTCAGAATTCTTCAAATCATCAAGTCTTAAGTCTTCAAACACTACAGTGGATTAATCATTTTACTGAGTCTTATGTCACAGACATACAGCAGTTAGAGAAAATGTTACAGTGAAAACTGTGTCCTTAGTTGCTCCCCCCATGTGATGTTGAACTTGGGAAGATACATTGTTTTTCTTGCTGCCTCCACAATGAACAAATAATCAAAAACACTTCCACATAAACAGTCTCACGTACATATACTGGATAATATACTGCACAAGTCATGCAAATTTGTAAATTGATTTTTTATATATTTTTTCTGTTGTTGAGGGCAGACCCATATGATTTCACTCCATGAATAATGTTTACCTTTTTTGGATTCTTTTTCATTAGAGGCATGCAAGAACAATGAAGCTTTCTTCCCAATTCACTTCAGCACGGGGTGAGTAATTGATATACAAATGATCATTTAGGGGGTGATGTATTCCTTTAAGTGATAAACAATAATTCTGAATTTTGATACTGGAAAAAAAGGACAATCAAGGAACATGTGCAACACTGAGAATGAAGAGACATCGGTAATACCAAAATGTCAGGGGTCCTGGCTTTCATCAAGGTTTGTGGGACAGGATCAGAAAAGAAAAAGAAATGTAATGGGCCTTTTCTTGGCTTTTCCACTTATCAACACACTGATTTGATCCAAGCCAACACTGTCTTATCTCCTCTCTCCTAACTGCTGGTGTGGTGGAGTGTGACGCACAGATTTCATAAGGTAAAGGGACTGGAGCATACTCATTTGCAGACTAATGTCTCAACAATACTGTGTGACACTACAGTCCAACATTTCAACACATTTTCCCTCTGAGTTTAACTTGCTCTGAAAAACAACTGATTCAACTGCACATTGGTGGGCTCATCAGTGAGCTCATCACCAATTCACTTGTCTGGTCACAAACATATTTCCTAGCTGCACCAACCCCCCAAAAAAATCAATGGCCACACTCAGACTACTGACATAATGGTTTCCTCACAGACTATTCTTTGCTACACGGAGCCTTCAGTATGAAATTCTCTCTACTCTAAGGTTGTTAGATGACAGCAGGATAAATGGCCGGCAGGAAAATCTTACTTAGATAAATTGTCTTTCAACCAGAAAAGTGAGTTTAACTGACTGTTCCAGCTCCAATATCAATAGCTCATCAGCAGACTCAACTTTGATTTTTACTCTAATCTTCTCTTTGCTCTTTGGCACATCTCTCTACTTTTGTATATCCACACTTAATAGGCTTTAAGCTCAGAGCACAGTGTAAGGCTACATAAAGACCTACTAGTTATTGAGGGGTATGAACCGTCTGATGAGTCAGTGAACAATAAGATGTACATCACTTAACCACAACATTGTGCTTGTGGAATTAGCCAGATCTTTGTTGTATGCCACCCTACCCTACTTAAATAGTGGTCACTCTAACGACTTCATAAAATATAATTTAGTGCGTCATCACTGTTTTTTCAGCATGGATAGTGCCACAAAAAGCAGCTGTATTGTTTACCAAGCCATCACTGCATTTCCTGCCACAATAGTGGCATGGGAAGCAGTTGTGGTTTACCGAAACATTGCTGCTTTCCTGGGATTCTCCCCCAGTACTCACTATCTGTAACCAAGTGGGTTTTGTGCCTCATGAATGCATTAACCACAGCATTGCTTCAACAAAGTTTTAACATGTCCACATGATAATAATGTGCAAATGGTTTGCAGTAACGTAGAATGCCAATACTACCTTTGGTAACTGGGCTGCTTCTTTGATAGCTGTCAGCTGCATCTC